AGATAAATTCATTGCACGTCATCTTGGTTTTATTGAAGGGAACATGCGGATCTGTTCTGCAAAACAAATACGAAAAGAAGCAGAGGTTGCCAGACAGGATGGTACAGTGAAGCGTCAGGATCCACACAAAGCCTTTGTGGAGCAGGAAGTGGATGATAACCCCTCTCAGGAGCCCAAAATTGACACAGACATGGACATTGAAGAAACAGCAGCTTTGGAAAACTGGAGAGGCCTTGCAGTTCCACCAAGGAAGAGGAAATTGACCTCATACCTCTCCCCTTGTCCTGAATGGCTCCACTCAGATCCAGCTGTGAAAAAGAAAAAAGTAAAGCTAGGGCTGTTAAAAAATGGAAATAATCAACAACCAGTAAAACTTGGCAAAGGACAATACTGTCATGAACACCTGTGCCTTTGATGCCTTCTGTCAAAGTCTGTGCTGCGCTTACTGTGACAGTCTGACTGCTCAAAACATGTTGAATAGTTCAGAGGAGAATAAAGTATTCCAGCTTGTGAAATCCCTTGCTGCAAAGGGTGTCACTCAACATGCCTATTCATTGAGGGCAGAGGTGCTGAGCTCAATATTCTGCCCTGTTCAGTTGAAGACTGGTGTTCATCGTGTTGATGCACAGTGCCATGTGTCCACAGTAATTCAAAAAACAATGATGGAAAATCCAAATGTTCACTTCACAAGACAGTGTTCCTCCCAGTACTGCAAACTTTACACACCAAACACAAGGCAAATAACTTTTGTTTCCATTTATCTGTCAGTCCTCTCAGCTTCTGGCATAGCTCACCTTCGACTGAAGGTTAGCTTATATGGATTGACACAGACCTTGGAAAATGCTCTACAGCAACTCTGGAGCACAGTTTTCACAGTCCAAAAAGGTTTTTGCTTACTGAATTCCCATCCACTCTGCTACTTCAAGGAGAGAAATTCATACTGAAAGCAGTCATTACATTTCAGGAGGGCCCAACACCAGAAACACTCGGGCATTATATGACATTCTGTAACAGGACCCCGTACATCTGGGAGATGTATGATGACCTAAGAAAGGATATAACCATAGCATCTGAAAACACCAGCGTATGTCCGCACGCTGTGCTCTACACAAAGGAATGATGGCAAGATTTCATGAAAGAAAGTCCTTTTCTAGTTTGTGAGTTAGATGATGGAAATAGCTGTTATTTTTCAGTTATTGTATTAGACTTGTGAGGCTCAGACGGTTCCATGTATTTACCTTTTCTAACAGGAAACATATATACTACATTGTTCTTGCAGTTTTGTATTTTGTTACCAGCAAATAAAGTTAAATTTTTAGCAGCACAAACATAGTACAAACATAGCACAAACCTGTGACATCAACTTTTGTTTGATTTGGGTGATGTGGGGGGCTGGTTGACCTTTTGACGTTTGCATTTTCATTAATATCTTTAAAACAGAAGCAGCACAAATGACAATTTTAGCAGCACAAACGTAGCACAAACCTGTGACATCAATTTTCTTTGATTTGGGTAATGTGGGGGGGCTGGTTGACCTTTTGACCTTTACATTTTCTTGAATATCTTTAAAATGATAGCAGCACAAACAAAAAATTTTGCAGCACAAAAGTAGCACAAACGTTTGATACCACTTTTGTTGGATTTGAAGAAGGTGGAAACTTCACTCACATCCTAAATGAAGGGGATCCTGATGTGGCCTTGCAATAGCTCGGAGATAGTCAAGCATGACTTTTTAAGCAGACTTGTGGAGTCTTCTAGTTTCTCTCTGAACCTGGTCATGAGTGAGAGTGATAGATGGGGGAAGGACGTTAGGACTTTCATAGGTGCAATGTGGAGACAGAGGGAGAGCAGGCTGACTGCAGGTGAGAGGTGAGAATTAACTGCAGTGCCAAAACTCATTGACTCCTCTGCTGTTGGATGGCCTGTATCCAGTCTGCCGTAAAGTGACAGCAACACAAACTTAATCTCTTAAAGGTATCCTAACCCATGTAAATGTACACATTATACGCAGGCACAGGTAAACCTGAATCCTCATTAAGTCATGCTGCAATAGGTCTAGGCTGACCCTTCACTTCAACTCCATTTTATTTACACAGTGCCAAATCACAAAAACAGTCGCCTCAGGGTGCCTTATTTTGTAAGGTAGAGAAAAACCCAACAATCACATGACCCCCTATGAGCAAGCACTTTGGCGACAATGGGAGTTAAAAACTCCCTTTTAACAGGAAGAAACCTCCAGCAGGACCAGGCTCGGGGGGGGGGGCACTAGGTTTCAAACCTGCATTTGAAGCGTTGGCTACCATAGGAGTATAGTATTGCAACAGGGCATTTGGACATAAATAGTGCAATAGGAAAATAGGAACATAAATAGTGCATCATTGCCAGACCTGGCCCACATCTGGTTGACATACACCCTGCCATAACACCGGTCAGTCAGAAGTGCCAGCTTGATGCCAGATCC